ATATATATATATATATATATATATATATATATATATATATATATATATATATATATATATATATATATATATATATATATATATATATATATCTTAAGTATCCGCGTGGTCTATTTCGACCATGCGTGAGAGTTAAGCAGACTATGCCTAGAGAGAGAAGAGAAATCCCCTTTTACCTCTTGCTTTGGAATTATTATGGTTGAACATTATAGTTCGTAACAATCGTAAAAGCCAAACCCCTTGATTTCTCTCCAGGTCGTGGATGGTGAAGCTTGTCTCCAAGGCCACGAGAGCTGACTACCATCACAGGTCGAAACCTGTGTACCGCCCACTCCCCGCAGGGTGCAGAAGAGGGTGTGGTGATCAATCGCCTTGGCGGTTGTCTAGCATTGAGAGATTAACCCCTCAAGGCGCGTGTCGGCCGACACTCGAGGGTCAAAACGTGACCACCAAGACATCGGCTGAGGATTGCAGGAAGAAATGGTCGGAGTTAACGACCAAGTTGAGGGTCATCAGAGACAAGTGTGGGGAATCGGGCAAACCCTCCTAGTGGGAGATGACAAGGGGACAGAGAAAGAAGGAGGGGATGTTCCCCGCCTTCGAATAGCCGGTCTGGGAGGTCACGGCCTGGTACTCCAAGTTGTCGTCGCTAAGGTGTGACAATATGCTTGCCTCAAGTGCTTTGCAGATAGGGGACGGAGGGAGCTCCGGTAGACCTCCATCGGAAGGCGGAGGGACATCTCAAGTTGGAGGGACAACGCAGGCAGGGACGAAAATGGCTGATGGGGCGTCAGATGGCCGTCTGACATTGGCAGGGGGAGGGATATAGAATGGACAAGGAACATCGCAAGGGGCAGGAACTTCTCGAAGAGGAGGGAGGAACGAATTAGAGAGCGCAGGGAAGATACGTCGCACAGGTGGTGGGAAAGGTCGGGTTGGAGGAGAGAGCGGATCGGCAGTTTCAACCATCGCCGAAGCAATGCATGTGTCCACGTGATCGTACTGTGAAGGACTGGACAAGGCGTTGAACAAGGCCGCTGGTGTGCTCGCGAAGGCGAGCACCGAAGGAGCGAATGTCGTCGCTGGCAGGATGGGTGACATGACAACCCAGATTGGCGAGGTGGCGACCACCATGCATAAGGGAAATGAATTGCTGGAACTGCTGGTGGGTGTCATGGCACGACGAGGGAGCAGCGACGGTGGGCGATGAGGAGATAATGACCCTTCGTGGCCTTGGCATCGGTGCGGTTTTCGAGGTGAAGGTATATATATATATATATATATATATATAGTATCCAGGTGCCTGGAACCCGTGCCCGTTTTCCGTGGGCCGCAGACGAGGTTTTTCGGTGGGCCGATGGTGGGGGGGGCTGACTATATATACGGTGGATGTGTGGCCTGCAGCAGTGTGTCAAGTGTTTTTCACGCAGACATTGTGCGGAAGGGGAGGGTTGCCAATTTCCGTCCTTGGCTGTTTTCCATGGGTGGCAACCCTCGATCATCTTTTACTCGTGTGCGCACATGTGTGTGTGTGTGTATGTGTGTGTGTGTGTGTGTGTGACTGTGAGGGGGAGAGGGAGAGAGAGAGAGAGATGGCAGATATTGTGGCCGTCGTGAGGGAGATGGTCGCTGAGAAGGAGGTCATCGTTCAGGAGACAAGGGACGAACGAGGGAGCGAGCGCCACCGCCAAATGGAATGGGGCCCTGGGGTACAAACCGACTGCACACGTGTCTATTACGCACTAGTGAACGACTTGATGGCCATGCGGATGGCGGAATGGCTGGGCTACGATGGGGACTACAACCTCATGGAGGTTGTTCTGCTCGTGAGGAAACTATCTAATGTTGTCCCCGACACGTGGCAAACGCTAAACTCTGACGTCGTGGGCGACATGGTGAGGTACCTCATCTTCGCCATCGCTGAGGAACATGTGGCGTCCATGGATGGGAATGCTTCGTCTATTGCGGATTTGGAGGGAATGCCTTCATGGCGCTGTCCAGATCCGGTGGCCGGAGGACGACATGAGGGCCGCACGGAACAGGTGATGAGGTCCAGTCTTCGTATGCAGCTGCAGGCGCATGGATGACACACATCCTCCAAACTATTGCAGCGCCTTTTTTTGGGGATGACACTATTCAAGTGCCACTAGAATGACCTCCAACGTGTGCATGATGGCCGATTAGTGGGGACTGGCGATGGAGGGGACAAAGGGTTGATTGCGAGGTGGTTTGCGGACTTCGTGTTGTGTTCATATGGCGGGTAATGTTTGTGGGATCGCAGTACTTCGATGGAAGCAGGGTTAGTTGTCTTCCTGCGGACGAATTGCAGATGGGTCAATCCTTCCTGTCAAGGAAGCAATCAATGCTCATCTCTGGTTTATGTCAACTCATGATAATTTTCGGTGCGATGACACAATTGCTAAATGAAGGGAGAGATTCTATGAAATGTAATTTTGTTGTCCATATGTATGGCTATGCGTATGTGTCTGTGTGCTGTGTATACGGCCGTACACATACGGCCCGTCCATACGTACGGCCCCCCCGACGTCCGTACGGCCCGTACGTACGGACTTCGGGCTGTGCGTGCACGACCTTCAAGAGGGGTGGTGGGGGGGTCGATGGGCTGGGGGGGGGTCGGGTGTCAGGGGGTACCACCCCATTAAAAAAAAAACAGAAAAAAGAAAAGATTTTTTTTTTTGGGTCCCGGGTGAGGTTTTTTTTTTTTTTAATCGATTGATTAATTAATTGATTGATTGTTTGATTGATTGGTTGATTGATTGACTAATTGATTGATTGATTGATTTGATTGATTGATTGATTGATTGATTGGTCGATTGATTGATTGATTGATTGATTGATTGATTGATTGATTGATTGATTGATTGATTGATTGATTGA